GTCAAGGCTAACAATTCTCTCAATGTTGGCGACAAGATGTTCGACTCGCTCTTCAACAAGGCCTTGAAGACCGGAGTCGACAAGGGTGTCTTTGAGCAGCCCAAGGGCCCTTCGGGCGGCACCAAGCTGGCCAAGAAGACCGCGCCTGCTGCTGCCCCCAAGAAGGCCGCTGCGCCGAAGAAGGAGGCCGCACCCAAGAAGGAGGTCAAGGCACCCAAGGAGAAGAAGGCTGCTGCCCCCAAGAAGGCTGCCGCGCCCAAGAAGGAGGCTGCTCCCAAGAAGGAGAAGGAGGCTAAGGCCCCTAAGGAGAAGAAGGCTCCTGTTGCCAAGAAGGCTGCCCCTAAGAAGAAGGCCGAAGAGAAGAAGGTTGGTGAACCGGCCGGTCTACGTTCTTTGGAGTCGCTCTAACACAATTTCCAGGCGCCTGCTGCTGAGAAGCCTGCTACTGTGCTCACCAAGACCAAGTCTGGGCGCGTCGCGAAGACAGCCGCCAAGCCAGCACCGAAGAAGGCCGCCGCACCCAAGAAAGCTGCCCCTAAGAAGGAGAAGACACCAAAGAAGGCAGATGCCACGGCGTAGAGAACCCTTCGCAACGGTCGTCGGGTGTCTATTACTCCGAGGAAATGATGTCTTTTCTTACAATGTCGTGACGGCTTTCAATCGGTACTGGCGTTCAGGGGACCATGGGTTTTGGCGGGGTCATTGGCTACGCGTTCTCACGATCAGCGCGGGACTGGTATTTTTGCACTTGGGGGTTTTGCGGGATGTTTTGTTATGACACGGGAACATATGTTTTGGTGGGTGGGTGGCTGGGAAGCGGATGGGAGCGTGGCGTGGAGCCTGTCGTGCTGCGAAAAAAAGCGCGCCTCCTTTTCATTTTGCATCGCATTTTTCGCCTGCTTGCATTACGATACCTCTTTGGATTCTCTCTGGCTATTCCACTTGCTCACCAGCGCGAGCGATGATCTGGAAAGCAGCGGAGAAGCCATATAGCGAGCGGCAACTTGGACGGTTCTGAAACGGCGCAGGGTGGGTGGGCATGGTGGCGATTTTGCGTGTGCGCACAAACCTGCGTCGAAAAGAAAAGGGCGGCTTTGCGCTTTCACCTCGGAAGGGTTTGAGGACTAGATGACTGGGGGAGCTGTAATATACCAAGTCGGAATGAAGAAGAATTTCTATGCTCTGTTGTTTTTCCATTGGTGTTTTGCTCTTGTGGTACTCGTGGCCGCGAGCGCGGTCGGTCGGGTCGCGTGTTCTACGTTGTTTACGTTTTTCGGTGATCTGCCGAGGCATCGCTTTTACCCGTTTTCATTCTTCGGCCCCGACCGCTATCTGTTACGTGCGTGTCTTATCAAATAGCAGGATTCGGTCTCATCTTTGAGAGGAAATGTCATTTTGCTACTGATGTGAAGGTGATTTCTTGGAGGAAGTGCTAGGCCAGTCGATGCTCAAAGAGAGTGTTTTCGCTGCCAGGATGAGCTCGACAGGTCGATTGCCCCTGAAATCAGATGAGGGTTCGGGTTGTGCCGCGGTGCAGAGCGTCATTCAACCGATTTGATCGCTAAAGCCTTGCAGTTTGTTTAGGGTTGGGCAAGAAATGTACCAGTGCCTCCCTCGCCTTGGCCTCGTGTCCGCATGCTCCTGAGAAGCTTGTGTGGCACAGAGTTGGAACATGCAGAGCAACAACCTCTTTGGCGTCTGCCCGCATCCTGCGTGTAAGTCAAATCGTCTTAGGTAATGCGATGCCCCTCACCAGTGGTCCGTGCACACCTCGATCTATGGACCCTGCGCTACCTGGAGGTCGACCAGGGGGAAGCCCACCAACGAGCAACTGACGACGCCGCATGATTCAGCGCCGGCTTATCAACGGCCCCTTCGCAACCAAGCTCACCCGTTTCTGTCTGCCTTGGATTGGAAGACCAGTTGGAGTGTCGCCGAATACTTGTTTGTTGGGCCCTTTGCTTTGCTGCTCCGCGGGAACCGGAACCTTGGGGGATTGAACCGAGTTGGGTTGCTAACCCTCGGCCAATTTAACAGCCCGCTGCGACCACACTCCTGACTGCGACCTTCACCATCCTTCCTGAAGTGTCGTGACAGCAAAACGGCTCCTGGTCTTCGCGGGCAAGCCAAACCGATCTGTTGGCCACGCATTTCCTCAGCTGCGTTGCCAGCTGCCCGAGCTTGTCGAGCTCTGCCCAACGTGGCATCCGCACCTCGGTTGGGTTGGGTCGAATGCAGAGCTGAGCTGGGACAAAGGCACCCTTCGACCATGGGCTAAGCCAGAGCTGTGCAGCATCACCGCCTCCAGTTTGCCAACGCAGCCGCCTGCCCAGTCTCATTGCTTCCGCCAATCCCTCACAATGGCCCAACCATCCTCTCTCAGTTCGAACAATCCGTTCCGTCGCAATGGGTCCGGCGCTTCCGTCCCAACCCCTATCGCCGCCCCTCCCCCTCCCTTCCCAGATGCACTGGACTCGCCCTCCGACGTTGCCCCATCGATGTCTTCCAGCGACCAATTCCGCGCCCAGCTGCAGGCCCTGCCTCACACCGACCGCCCCCCGCCGGCCACGAGCTTCCAAAAACCGAAAGTCGTGAAGAAAGTCCGCGTTCAGTCACCCCCTCCGTCGTCCCCGGAATCGGCGGGCGCGCCGGAGCGCTATTCCCGACGCGACCCGGGCTTTGATGACAGCAGCAGTAGTAGCGAAGATGACCAAGACGAGATGTACGACCCCTTCAACATCACACTGCCGACAAACCCCACCGACAGTCAAGACAGCATTGTTAGCAATGAGGACTCGTCGCGCCAACTCCCGCACCGCGCGCCACCCAACCCATTCCAGCGGACACTACAAGATTTGGAGCTGGGATCAAAAGAGGTGGCACCGAGCGCCGATTCACCAGCGGGAACGCGTGGCGCGTTAGATGTGGATGCGTTCAAGAGACTTCTGCTCACAGGGCAAGCCGGTGGACCAGGCACCGCTCAAATAGCACCACCAACGTCGGCCTCAGTACCCGCGCAAGGCGCTCACCCACCTTCCCAGACGGGCGATGGAGCGAGTCTGACTGATACGTCATCCATATCGCGTCAATCTATATTCGACGCTACGTATGCCCCCATACATGACACGCCACGTACTTCCCACGAGATCTCTGAGCCAGAGGGCGATGATGACCGACACAGCCTGATCGGAAACAACCGCCCCAAGGCTCAGTCACCAGCAACCCTCCGGAAGAAGCCCCCGCCCCCTAGCTCACGGCATGGGAAGTTGATCAAGATGGAACTGAAAGGACGGGATCAGGAAGGGAGTGATGCATCATCTTCTGTGTCACCACGGGCGGCTAAGGGGCCGGCATCTCCACCGCACCACACGGTTTTGCAAGAGCCGACCACCCCGTTAGAGGTGAACAAGCCGCTCCCACCGGCGCCGCACAGGCATCCAATAGAAGAGGAGTCGGAAAGTGTCTTTGATCGGGAAGCTGCTGGCAAGGTTCCTGAACCGGCAAGGGAGTTTGTCGAAGAGCCATTACCAGTCGAAAGGCCGCCAACACCACCGAAGTCATCACAGCACACACTAACTCCCACAACTAACTCATCAAAGAAACCACCCCCACCGCCGAGACGTAATCCCCATGGGAGATCAGAAAGCAAAGCGTCCATCAATGTTACTGCTCCTCCTCCGACCCAGACGACTCACCTAGAGGAGCTTGACACATCAGCAAGGCGGTCATCCCAAGACTCTACGCGCTCGCGTTCATCTAGCCTGCGCGTCAGTATCCATGCACCTGCGCCGCCACCTCCTCGACGGCCGGCTCACAATGCCCGTCCATCGAGCTCGTTCATGTCCCCGTCTGCAGTCAGCTTTTCGAGTATACAATCGACGGGCAGTGAGAAGAGCCCCTCTGAGGTTCCTGAGTTCTCGCCTATCCCGGCCGGTGTCACTGCTGCTGTAATAAGCAGCAATAACCAGACACCGTCTCCCCACACAGAGACACCAAGCTCCATCACCGAGCCTTCCGCCTCTCCACCCCCTTTGCATCATGGTGGCGTACACCCTAAGCTCTTCCCACCGCCACCGCCGCCGGCGCGCAACGCGTCGACTAGGTCTAAGAGGCCGCCGAGCGTTTCGTCATTGGATGCGACTTCACGGCGTGTGGGAACCCCGTTACCACCTCCACCGCCGCCTCCTCGACAGCGAGGGAGTAGCAAAGGCAGCGTGGATGGGTCTGGACTGGCCGCGAGGAAAACGAGCATTGACGGCGTGAGAATCTCGGAGGAGAAGCTGGTTGAGGAGCCAGCGCTCGTTGCTGTACCGGTTGAAAAGATTAGTGCGGCGCCTGGTATTCTAGCGGATCTAACGGCGCTGCAGAGGGAGGTTGATGCTCTGAGGGGGAAGGTGGAAAAAGGGGAGACAGGATAGGGGTGATGTTCAGTTGCATTGCATGTCAGCCGTGGTTGTTCACTAGCCAGGACTGGGCGTCTGGATTGCTGGATGAGATTATGACCGGACGGAATGTGTAACTACCGGCCTAGGGGTTTATGAAATTCGCATGACGGTCCTGGGTGTGTGCGTTAGTCGCGCGTCGCTGGAGCATACTGGCCTCCTCAGGCGTGTAAGATGAGATAGGATATTGATTCTGGCGCCGGTTGGTCAACTCAGGTCTCACGAATGTCTTATGAATGTGTTCTGCTGTGCCGTGCATGGATTATCTCGATTTTGATCTTAGAGGCGCACACGAATTTTGAGTACCCTGGAGCATCTATCTGAACCCACCTAGTCCACTCGAAAAAACAGCGCAGATTCCCCACTCCCCACCATGCCCTGAGCCACGCCACATTCATATAGACCGTTTCCACCCACCGTTTTCAACAATCGGGTATGGTGTAGTGGCTAACATCGCTGACTCTCATCTTTGAGCACTCAGCAGCCCGGGGTTCGATTCCCCGTTCCCGAGAACCAGGCGCGACCGCCAAACTACCGTGGATGGTAGACATCCGCACGTCTTCCGTAGTATAGTGGTCAGTATGTGAGCTTGTCATCTTCGACTTCGCTCGAGACCCGGGTTCAATTCCCGGCGGGAGAGTAGATACTGTGTCAGGGGGCGCGCCTAACTTTTTGGTGGTTTGGGTTGTTTGGGTTTTGGTGGATTGCTTCTTGCTATCTAAATTGGGGTATCATTGAGTTTTGTTCTTCTTTTCCTTCCTGTTTTGGTTTTCCAGACGTTAGGTTGTGACACTTTCCTACGAAGTGCCATGTCTCATCGCCCGGCTCTTGCTAGCCCGCTGAGTGCTACCGGGGCGATGTTTCGCCCTGTGACTATCTGGCGCATCTGCGCTACCAGGCGAGCATTCTTGGACTTCTTTCCGTCTCCGACTAGATACTCCTGGAGCCACTTCTCCTCCGACCCTGTGAGCGGCAGGCTGGCTAGTTCTTTTCCGCGGGGGCCGACCTCTTCCGGGTAGTCTAGGACGGATGCGACGAGTTTCTCAAAGAGTTGCTGGCGGGCGTGCTCTGGGTATCCGCGAGAGAAATAAAGGGCTTCGGTGACGCTTGTTCGGGCTAGGGCGCCGAAGAGGAGCTCGAGTGCCTCGGAGGTCTTGAAAACGGGCTGGGTGGTGTGGTAGTAGGCAAGCGGGAGGCTGTAGTCGTTGGCTGATGCTTGGTGCACGAGGGCGATGATGATCTCGTCGGCGAACTCGGAGGGCAGGGAAGGATGGGCGAGGTGCTCGAGGGCGAACTGGTTGGGTTTTTGGTGTTAGTGAGGTGGCCGGGCGGATAAGGCGCAACTTGGTATTCTGTAAAAACAAACCTTGAACTCCTTGCGATCCATGTGCCAGAGGCCCCTCATGAGGATCTGGTACTTGTTGGGGAGAGCGGATTCCTCGGCAAGGGTACTGGCGAGTTGGGAACGAGCGCCCCGTACGTAATCGTAGTCGAGGAGGAGGTAGTGAAACACCGAGAGCTTGTGATGCGCCGAGCCATTGCTCTCGCAGATCTGACGGTGAAGACTGCGCAAGCCGCTATCGCCCTTGGGAGGATATGCCTTGGCTGTAGGAAGGTTGCGTTAGCAAGACGTGGCGATGGTGGAGGAGGGCTGGGCTCGAATACTTGCCTTCGGTGATTCCTAGCGCCCGCAGGACACGGTCGACGAAGAGGGTGCCATCGAAGGACTTTCGGAAGGTCTCGATTTCCTTGATGCCTTTTTGGTCGTAGGGTTTGGCGCCGTCTATCGGGAAGATAGCTTGAAATTGTGTGAGGTCAAGCATCTTGGCGACTTCCTTGGTGGTTGAGTTCGCCGTTTGCTGGTTGGGGTTCCGTGATGGAAGCTTGACGCAATTGGGTTGGTATTGTTTACCAGAATATCAGTATAGAATTATGTATCTATCGGTTAAAGTAATGCGGATACCATGGATCTCCTGCCTAGGGAGGCGTGTTTTCTTACCCCGGTTTTGCGACTGGTGGGCATTGTGGCGGGCCAATGTGGCTGATTGTTTACAAACTGTCAATGTCAACAAGCGGGGCAAGGGTCTCGCATCGCGCCTGACATTTTCGAGCACCCATCGCATTTGATTTCCACTTGAACCAATTCTCTAGCCTTTCGCGTCACTATAATCAGCACGAGTAAATTTCTGGCTTTCATTCTTCTACAATTGTTCCTGTGCGAAAAGGTCGTAAATCATGTCGTCGCGACCGTCGCGCCGCGTCGCTGCCCGGCGCACGGCGGTGATCGAATCTTCAGATGAAGAGATGGCAGATGCGCCCCAGCAGAAGGCCGAGGACGACAGCGGCGATGACTTTACCCCCGCGCCCGCGCCAAGTCCGCGACGAACACGGAGGAAAACCATGCAAGAAGACCCAGCACCCGCAGCGCCCGCCACACCGAAGCCGCGGCGAGGGCGCCCAAAGAAGAGCATCGCCCCCGCCGCCAGTATCGAACCGAGCGAAGTGTTCGACCCCGACCAGACAGCCGGCCCTGCAACCGAGGAGCCCATAGAAGTAGCGATGAAGCCAGCCCCGAGGGCGCGGAGAAGCGTTGCGCCTCATGCGTCAAAGGCAGCAACCCCTGAGTTGCAGCCGCCGCTTCCCACACCAAAACCTTCCCAGTCGCCTGTGTCCGTGGAACTGCAGCAGGGCTCGCCACTATCCGACATCACGTCCACCACTATCAACGAGCAGCGCCGGCCTGGAGATGACACGCTTTTGGCTGCCGTCAAGCCTGTCAGGGCGATGGACACCGTTCTTGAGAGACCCATGGACATCGTGCTGAAGTCGCGAACTATGGCGGTCCCAATGGTTGAGGACACAGGGCCGAAGCCACGAATTGTCATTACGTATCTTATTCTCACCAACTTCAAGAGCTACGCCGGACGGCAGGAGGTCGGGCCTTTCCACGCCTCCTTTTCGTCCGTGGTAGGCCCCAACGGCTCCGGCAAGTCCAATGTTATCGACTCGCTGCTCTTTGTTTTTGGATTCCGAGCCAGCAAGATGAGACAAGGCAAGATTTCGGCCTTGATTCACAACTCTGCCCAGTATCCGGACTTGGAATACTGCGAAGTTGCAGTGCACTTCCAGGAGGTCATGGATGTGGTAAGTAATATCGTCTGCTTGTTCGAGTGTAGCCTGACTCTAATGTTTTCGTAGCCCGGAGGCGCCCCTCAAGTAATTCCGGACTCGGCTCTTGTCATCTCGCGGAAAGCCTTCAAAAACAACTCAAGCGCATACTACATCAACGGGAAAACATCAAATTTCACAACCGTGACCACTCTGCTGCGTGACCGGGGTGTGGATCTGGACCACAAGCGCTTCCTGATTCTTCAGGGTGAAGTTGAATCTATCGCCCAGATGAAGCCCAAGGCTGGCAACGAACACGAGGACGGCCTGCTTGAGTATCTTGAGGACATCATCGGCACATCCAAGTACAAGGCGCCAATCGAGGAATCAGCCACCGAAGTTGAGACGTTGAACGAGATCTGTCTCGAGAAGAGTGGTCGCGTCCAGCACGTGGAGAAGGAGAAGAACAGCCTTGAGGACAAAAAGAACAAGGCTCTGGCGTTCATCCGGGACGAAAATGAGCTCACAATGAAGCAGGCTGCTTTGTACCAGCTCTATATCAGCGAGTGCGACGACAATCTGGCCGTCACCGAGGAGGCCATTGGCCAGATGCAGTCGCAGCTTGATGAGGAGCTGGAAAAGCACAATGGTAGCGAGCAGATCATCAAGCAGCTGGAGAGGGCCTACTCCAAAGGCAGCAAGGAATACGACGCCCATGAAAAGGAGACGCAGGGCTTGATCAAGGAAATGACCAAGTTCGACCAAGAGCGTGTCAAGTTTGACGAAAAGCGCAAGTTCCTCACAGACAAGCGAAAGAAACTCGAGAAGACCATCGCCAACGCTGAGAACTCTGCTGCCGAGGCGGACCAGACGATTGAACAGTGCGCCGAGGACATCGACACCCGCGGCCAGGAAGTCACTGAGCTTGAGACTCTTGTCAAGAAGGAGGAGGCGGAGTTGACCAAAATTCGAGAAAGCTTGAAGGGCAAGACACAGCAGTTTTCTGACCAAATCTCGGCAAAGCAAAAATCTCTCGAGCCCTGGAACGAGAAGATCAACCAGAAGCAGTCTGCCATTGCTGTGGCGGAGAGCGAGATGGCTATTCTCCGGGAGAAAGCCAACGCCGGCGCCGTTGCCCTCGAAGATTTGGAGGCAAAAATCGCTGCCATTGAGGAAGGCAGGGAGGCGAAGGCTGAGGAGACGAAAGCCTGCCAAGCGGAGAAGGCCAGCCTTGAGAAGGAGGCAAAGAAGATTGAGGCAGAGCTTCAGAAGCTGGCAGACGAAGAGCCCAAGCTGCGGTCACAGCTCTCCAACGCGCGACAGAAGGCCGATGAGGCCCGGTCCAGCTTGTCGGCAACCCAGACCCAAGGCAACGTTCTCACAGCCTTGATGCGGATGAAAGAGTCGGGCCGTATTGACGGGTTCCATGGCCGTCTCGGCAATCTCGGAGCTATCGATGCAAAGTACGACGTCGCTATCTCGACGGCGTGCGGTCAACTCGACAATTTCGTCACGGACACCGTCGAGGCTGGGCAACAGTGCATCGAGTATCTGAGAAAGACAAATCTTGGACGCGGAAATTTCATGTGTCTGGACAAGCTTAGAGCTCGAGACTTCTCCCCTATCAGCACTCCGGAGAACGCGCCTCGCCTCTTTGATCTTGTCAAGGCCAAGGAAGAGCGTTTCCGGCCCGCTTTCTATCACGCCCTTCAAGACACTCTTGTGGCAACGGACCTTGCGCAAGCAAACCGGATTGCTTACGGCGCCAAGAGATGGAGAGTTGTGACCCTCAAGGGCGAGCTCATCGACAAATCTGGTACCATGTCCGGTGGTGGCAACACTGTCAAGAAGGGCTTGATGTCTTCGAAGCTAGTAGCCGACACGAACAAGGAGCAGGTGAAGAAGCTGGAGGCAGACCGTGACACCCTCGAGGCAAGTTTCAATGAGTTTCAGGAACGCCAACGCGAGCTTGAGATCCGTCTTCGAGTCGTCAAGGATCAAATACCTAAGCTCGACACAAAGCTCCAAAAGATCAACCTCGAAGTAGAGAGCGCCGCAAAAAACCTAGCCGATGCTCAACGCAGAATCAAGGAGCTGTCCAAAGAACACCAGCCTTCCAAGTCTGACGATAGCCGCCTCGTCGCTTTGGAGAAGGAGGTTGCGAAGCTCAGCAAGGAGGTCGAGAAGCTTCATGAGGAAACTTCTAGCGTCGAAGAAGAGATCAAGGTCTTGCAGGACAAGATCATGCAAGTTGGTGGCGAGAAGCTCCGAACCCAGAGAGCGAGAGTGGATTCGCTGAAAGAGGAAATCTCGTCTCAAAATGAGGAGATCTCCAACGCAGAGGTCAAAAAAGCAAAGGCTGAGAAGCTCAAGGTCAAGCTCGAGAAGGACCATGCCAAGGCCTCCAAGGAACTCGAGGCTGCTATCCTGGACTCTGAGAAGCTCGAAGAGGAGATCCAGAACCAGGGCAACAAGGCGGAGGACTTCAAAACTCGAGTGGAAGAAGCGAAGGAGGCTCTCGCAGCTAAGAAG